TGATGATGATGATGCTGATGATGATGATGCTGATGATGATGATGCTGATGATGATGATGATGATGACGATGATGATAGTCTTCCACAGCGGGGTGAATTTTTGTCACCAGGCTTTTGGGGGCCTCAGAACTGCTTATTGCAGTATGTCGCACAGCTATCATAAACAACAAAGGGAAAAACAAATTGATACCTCCGTCATAATACATTCAAAGGAAAGCGGTAACCATGATGCACCATCTCTCAGAGAAAATCGCGACACAATAATTCTGCGTATCTGCATATGGATTCAACTGTAAGTATGTTGGGTGAGATGGCTCAAGTGTTTAGAGTGTGAATTTACTGACCGGAAGGTTCGTGGTTCGAACCCGACCTCTGCCTCTCGACTTCCTCTGTCTGGGCTTGGGAAACCTGGCAGTATCCCATCCTGCTTGCTTCCTTCAAGTAGCATGGCAGCTAGGCACCGGAAAGGTGTTACACCTGAGAGATTTTTAAATGTTGATTAAGGGCGTTTTGTTAGACAGTGTGTGATAAGTAGGTGAATTACAAAGTTTATCGAATTGCGAGAACAGTATATTCCAGCAATCATAATATACAACCCCACTACGTCCGAAAAGCCTGATTAGATTACTAAGGCCGAATAATGTTGTCGGCTGCATTAGAAGTTTTCGTACTTAAGGGGATGTGCTCACACAGGTAGGGGCAATGGAGAGGCATAAGTAATAGGATTCGGAATAAATTCGTGTTCCAAACTCGATTTCAACGTGAGTTTGGTCTCATAAATGGGTCAAACCAGTCATCTTCAGTTTTCCAACGTTCGTCGTTTTAGTGTGCAATACAACCGGATCCCAAAAGAGGTGGAGCTTGCATAGGACCTACGAACTATTGGGGCACTGGTAAGTCACAAGACTCGGTGTTGTATTGCCCTTATATATATATATATGTTGTGCCATTGGTATAACATACGACACTATTTGTTTGAGCAGTAATATATGAACAGTAACTGAGCACTAGCACTTTTTGATGTCTAGCTGCCATACCATCTGAAGGAAGCGGAAAGACTGAGCTGCTGTCAGGTTACCCAAGCCGGAATGTCGGAGTTGGGTTCGAAGTACGAACCTTCCGGTAAGTAAGTTCACGCCAAAACCACTGAGCTGTCTCGAAGTCAAATGATTATCGAATTGACTATTTCAGAATGGGATTTGCTAATCCATTTCTTATGAGAGGTCTTTGTTCGGTGGGACTACCCTTTAGAGTGTTAATGGGATTAGAGTTATCACCATTATCAGAAAATGCTTTATCCAAACATCATCCTGATTCAAATTCACAGAGCAATATACTTTATTTTTGTCTACCTCGGATACCAAAATTTGGAAGTATGTATCCTGTATGGCTTTGAAGTAGTCGGAAATGCTACTTCCACATCGCAAGATGTAAAGATGCTCATGTCTATCCGTTCCATGGATAACTTCACACACATTGGCGAGAGTGGTCGATTGTTGTTTCAGTGTAATTCGTTCCATGGGTTATATTAACAAGTCAATATTAGGAGAACGCAGTCAGACAAACCTATTATGAAAAAGTTGGATCAGTCACTGATCACGAGAACTGGTAGTTAATTTCCCTCTTTTGCGGTATTTTAATGAAGATCAACCGGGTCATAGAGTGTAAAAAAGGGAAAAAGTAAACGTCCAAGTTATTCATAGGATTTCATCACAAGAGAAGCGTAGGTAGATTGAATTTTTGACTGGGCTAGCAATGAGAATATACTCCGGTTACTTTCAATGATCACCTAGGTTTCCAGGATGTGAATTTTGCGGAACGAATATCTCCCACGGCTTGTTTATGCAATCCACGCAGCAGAGGATTGAACAGGGTTCGGCGATTACAGGTGACCAGTCAGTAGACTAGTTTCCACACTACCTAGATTTTACTGATATGGCAGACTAGACCAATCTGCGTCTGAATTTCGGTTCAAGTCCGACTATTAGATTTCGTTTCGTGGACACAACGTATGACGTTTTCGTGTGCCCACCGCCACACGTTAATCGTAAGACAAGGTAGTTTAATGAGAGAACATGTGAATACAATCAACGTCCTTGAGTGGTAGTAGGAACAAGTTTTGCTCAAGTGTGGCTGCATCACCTTTGGTTTAAACGAGTCATGTTATCGATAAAGCGCATGCAATCGAAGTCATATTCCGAACACCTCTGAACAAATCATGGATATTTGCTCCAGAATTTATCGATTGTAGAGGAGACTAGAATCCTACTGTATGTGAATAAATCTTTATCTAAATGAAGCTTGTGTGAATCCCGAACTTGAGCTTTTCAACGACAAATCCTGGTCCGCTAACTTGTCTGACATTGATGTTACTCAACTGACTTCGTGATCTTTTGGCCCGATTACGACCACCTTTTGCAATAGTGTGTCTGACAATTTCACATACCCTTTCATTTAGTTTCTGACGTCACAGCAAATAGCAAACAGTATCGGGCAAAAAAGGAAAGCTTCGTTTTTTAGTTGAGTTCAAACCAGGGTTTTATGGCGGAAACAATCGCAGGTCATTCGCACTGCCCTCATGGGTCGATTTTGCGAGGAAGTACATACCCGAGAGCTGAACGACTGTGAATGGCCCCACTCCATATCTGGCACCCCTCAGAACGAACTACTTTTAACTAATTGATGTAAAGATATTTATTTCGCTCCCAGCGACAAGATTCAAGAATCTCCTTCTTACAATTCACGATTAGATACATTTTTCTCCTATCTAGTTTCGAACTGTTTCAGGTAGGTTGTGCGCTAATTCGAATTAGTTTTTGCTCAGTTATCCAATGCGATACTCTGCTTTGCACAAGGGTTGAAGTTCATAGTCATTTCAGCATGGTAGAATATGAACCTGGAAAAGACCTAAGTCAGATATCTCCTCGGGATCAAACTGTCTTCTGTTGACTGCCTGATTCTCACGCTTGTTATTCAAATGACCAACTAATAGGTCTGATAGTTTGGTGATGAAGTTCTGCATTATCCAGGAGAAAAGCTAAGTTGGTTGGAACATATTTGCAAGTTGAGGAGAGCCAGAACACTCACCTGTTTTTTTAGTTGCTTTGAAGCTGCTGTCTGTGATAAGGTCTGGTAAATCCGGTCAACACCCATTCCGAAAAGCAGTGACCCAGTTAGAGGGATATCGCTTAGCTTCCGCTGAAACCAGCTAAGCTGGGGACCAGCTTCCACTATCAGGATTCGGGGCTTGAAGGACGGGCACAGATTCAGACATTGGGCCTGTTGTTTTCCGGGGCGCGTGGTGTACGGTATTTTCTGTGGGCAATGGTGCAAACTTTCCGGCAATCGATAACATGGTTTCCTATTGGACACTTTCAGTTTAAATCCGTCTATCAGTTTTCGCGCCACGACTGAACCGGCACTCCCCGCTCCAACTGAAAACAAGAGAACATTCTTGAGCTGAACGTGCTTAAAATTATTCGTAATAGAGAACGACTCTGTTTTGCGATTGACTGGGAGGATTTTGCATTTTTCTAGAGCAAATCAACTTTCTAACGAGAGGCTACCCATTTTTTCATCCAGAGGAAGGAGCAGTGTTTGGCGGTTGCTTCATCCACACACGAAAGTAAACCTAACACTAAAAGTGCCCAATAAGTTAATCGAAATCAGATGGAAAACTACGTAGGTATACCCTCCAAGACAGCTACGACATACATGTCCCTGTAAGTTAGATTCAGGCTATTGCAGAGGGTTATATTGAACCTGATCATAATAGGGCTTCTCATCCATCAATACCAATCTCAAATATGTTGTTTTTTAGATTGAATAGGGTTGTTTGTGTCAGTTTTGGTTACATTCAGTGGATTTAGTTTCCGTTTTTTCAGGAAGTCCAGTTTTACGGTGGCGAGCTGCCCTATCCAACAGAGTTGGTGCTAAAGTCAGTCAGCAGGCTGGAATAAAAGCCTCGTTGAGAAGAATGATTTTACAGATTGGCGGTTCAGATGTTAAATGCGTATTTGATTCATTTGCTTGGATCAATTGCGACATTGGACGGTTACGCTCGAAATTTAATTCAGTTTTTGTTCGAGCACATAAATACAACGACAAACTAGACGGAGCTCGGGAGTGTCCCAACGTAACATTATCTCGAGAATAGGACAGAGTCTGCAAGTTACGGGGTCCACGATAAACCAAACCAAAATTGATAGAATTTAGCAATTTAGTCCAAATTGCGATAATTCTATCCCGTTATTTTGCTTGAAAGTCTTCGTATGTAGCTTTGATGTATTTAATTGTAAAATATTTGACTTCTTTGTCCTCCTATCAGAGAAGCAGCAACGTCAGAGTTAGAAGTAGGGGTATGTGTAGATTCAAAACTTAGTTACTCAGGCTCGCAATCGAGTTTGTAGGGAGCGTAAGGCTAAGCTTGTTCAACAGCTTTGCGCGACATGAGCTGAGCCGTTGAACAATTCGTTATTCGGCCTAGTTACAATTACGTGTCAGCAACCCGCTTCTAGGAATGCAACAAAAGAGTGTTACGCTGGTCCATTTCGGGATGAGTCTCTACGTACAATTATCTGCATGTAAACGCGTTGACTTGAGGTTAAATCGTGCTATCGAGCGTTTCAAGTGAATGTCAACTGAGGCTCTCCTGTATAATTAGCTTCAAAAGAATGTAATGCATAGTGACATTCAAAGTATCAAAGAACCTTTCGTGACCTTTTCTAAAGGTTGTTGAGGGTTTCACTCTACCTCTGGGCTTATCACTCCTCCACATGCAACTCGATTTAATATCAGCAACAGACCCATTTGAATGTCACCTGAGTCACTAAATTCCAGTTAGAAAATAAGGTCAGTGAATACTTGATCATTATCATTATTATCAGTGACAGCATGACATCATTGCTCAGCACCGATAGTTCTCTGCCGTACAAACACGATTTATTTGAAAACCCTATCGCGAAGAAAACAATGAAGGTGGATGGAAAAAGGAATTATTGCTACCTTACTACAAACATTCCGAGGTGCCTACATCTTCAGACACTCATTCAAGCAGTCTGGATAGAAACTTACAACAAGAATGTGATTGACATGATATTGATATGAATCGGCATACACAATACATCGTTTAAACAACGCGGCTACTGGTGCTGCATACCTTCTTCAATGGAAATCCCCGTTGCACAGCCGAAAACCACTTGCCCAATCGCGGAGTCTCCGACACCAACCCACATGAACTACGGTTCTCAGACAACGATTGCCGACCACGCGAAGAGGTCTCAATTCCGCTGATCCAACACTCCAAGTCTCACAGCAATGCAACAAAACAGCCGACACTGTAGCCTGATACACATATTCCTTGAGATTTAGGGTATATCATTCTGACGCCATGGGAGGCTCAAGTTAGAAAACGCGCCCCGAGCCTTGCAAATTCATGCATTGACCCCATCAGTCTCACTACGCTCAGAACTGATACCAATTCTTAGGTACGTTAAATGTTCCACAAATTCGAGGGCCTCCCCCTTGATTGTAAGTGACGTCCATCGAGTAAGCTACCTAATCGGGTTGATGAAGTGCTAATGAAACGCGAAAAAGTCGGTCAGGATTTTGCTCGCCACTTGGAAATTCATCAAGGAGTGGAAGACGAAGATCAGACCAAACGACAGTTACAACTGAAAAAACTGCATGAAAAGTCTGGGAAACGCATGCCCACCTGATGTCGCGATACTTATACGAGTTGACGGCCTGTCTAAGTTTGAGGGACAGTTGTCCGACTTAGACTCGTTTTCGATACTCCTAATTCCCCAGATCACATAATGATCCAGTGGTTGGTCCCGATACGAAGGCGACAGTTTACACTTGTATGAAACAGTTCACAAGTAGCCGCTTCCCTAAATAACTATAAGTAGTAGCATCCTTGTACTCAGCTTGCTTCTGAAGTGAATTATAATTGCACACCTCATTGTTCGGACATTTAATTGATCAGATCGTCAACGTACGCTGTTCAAACATAAGTCCAAAGAAAGCTCTTGGGCATAGAACAATGCATAAACTCTCAAACGTTTGTACCAGTGAAACAGAAAAGAATTCTTCCTAACACTTAAAACAAGACAGATATTCTTCATAAAGGAAGCTACTCACAAGGTTGCTGAAAACTGTTCGACAGCCCACGATTGATTTCGCCCTTCTTGGGGATCATTAGGTGGAGCCAGTCCCCAAGTTTCCGTCAACCTTATGTTCTACTTGAACCCAAATTGAACTATTTTTCGAGAAATACACTTATTTGCAAATCAGTTTGGTTTTCACGGGAGACTCAAATGAATCTCTCGTTTATGATGTTCTTCAACTGAATGTGCTGCACACAGGCCGCTTCATTTTTCAATCGGTACGACATTGAAGATATCGCGGTATATTTTCATAAAGGAAACTACTCACGAGGTTGTTCACAAGGCGGCCTGTGTGCAGCACAATCAGATGAAGGGCATCATGAACGAGAGATCCAGTTCAGTCTCCCGTGAAAACCAGGTTGATCTGCAAATGAATGTATTTGTCGTAATACCCTGGTTCTTTATCAATAAAATTATCATATACGCCATACAGATCCAAAACGAATAGAAGATTTGATCTGAGTGGGGACAGGATATATGGTCGAGAGACGGTCGACAGCATGCGATTTGTACTGGTTATTTTACACATTTAGTAGTTTTTAAAAGGGCATATATAATGGGTGCTATGGACGACTTAGATATTTTTCTCTACTTTCTTCACAAGATCCGTTGTCCTAAGTTCGTGTTTTTTTAATTCGGGGGTAACAATTTGTGGGTTAAAAATGGCATAGAGCAATCTGTCTGATCCGCTTAGTTAATTTCCCTTTTCAGCTCAAAGTAAAGCCATGCACTTGACCAGCGCATTTATGGCTTTTCTTTCACATACCAATGAGTTTCTTGTGTTGTTATTACTCGCTCCTGAAGGCAAGCAATTTTTATAAGCGTTCTGAACGTTAAAACCGGTACAAGTGAGTTTAGTTCATTCTAGACCACCGGAACGCTGTTCTCGTCTTTAGCACTCGTGGTCTCATGGTAATCAATTTCAGACATTTACTAGGAAGTGTCACTTCAACACCTGACACGTTCTTAAAAGGTCTGTTGATATTTTCGTCTGATCGACGGAATTCGGCGTTTGAACGACGTACGTCAGAAGTCACATGATCCACGAATTTTTGGAATGTCCAGATTTCACCTTGTTGTTGTTTTTGCTGGTGATGGTGATAAAGGCTAGAATTTCATGTAAAGACTGTGCGGATTCTTGGAAAGTCAGCACACAGCGGCCTGATAGTCACACCTGTATGGTATGCCAAGGTCTCATCCGAATTTTCTGCGCACGACATTTCCGAAAACAAGCATTTGAATAGAAGCCTGGAAAATTCTGTGTCCCGGATATGAAACGGACAGATTAGAGCATGATTGGGCAATTGATGTTCACGCACCGCTCATCGCTTATCTGGTGATTTCTAGCAAGTTCCCAATATTAAGGCATGAGTTCCGTAATCAAAACGAGTCATTAATTACAATCCAATCAGAATAAACCAAAAGGATGATGCACACACGTTAGCCATGTAACAGTACGATATGCCTTCCATGAAACTCAACTCAACACACCTTATTCTGTCAAGTACTGTATGTAATAAAGCAGCCAAAACTTTTGCTGGCCTCAAATGCCCAAGCTCTCAAGCTGCCCTATCAAGTTTAACTTCCAGCTGCACCCCGCAAAGTACCCTTCTCAATACTTCGTCTCTAGATTATCCAAGTTTTTGCCTTATGTTATATACAGTATAAGTAATTTGACTTCAGTAGTGCCTTTAAATTGCTATCAAAAGGCAAAATTCCTGACCACAACACATCCGATTTCAACTGGCCATATCCATCTGGTGATATCGAGATAAGAATGACAAACCGTGCTAACTTACACAGTTCAAAATCTGAATGAATAAGGTACCTACAGAGGGTAAAAATATCGAACAATAGGTCATTGCTAATAATGTTCCAAGCGGCACAGAATGTCTGCGGTGCTTGACCAACAGGTTGCCACAGAATTCAGTGTAAATCTACTTTTTAACATGATATCGATTCTCCGGATATTGGAGACTTTTTAGTCGCATCAGTCAACAAAATTTGTGGATGATAAACGTACATGCTATGGTCAGTGGCGGCCACAAACAATCAATTAGAGATGAATTCATTAAGTGAATGAATAATTACATACCGAACACAAACGGATTTCACACGATAACGTAAGCTTTCAGGCGGCAAATCTTGATCAGGCTTGTACCATCAAGAGTGAACTGGTTACTCGATACCTCTGTAACGCCGTATTATACTGCTAAGGCATGTGAGTAGTCTGTGGTTTTGTCGAAACTCCACCCCGCGTCTGACGGAAAGCGAGGTTTGTTGAGGAACTTGTGAAAGCGCTTTGCTGTGTCCATTAACAACCGTGTAATAGTCAGTGAATATTCGTAAAAGTTCAAAATGGACGTTTGAGAATGTTCAGTTTTTAAAAACTGTGTTCATTTGAGAGGTTTACTTTCCTGTCCAAAAGTTTGTAACTGCTTGGTTGGCGTACAAACGACTTTGCGGCGAAGGGTTATCCTTCTTTCGCAACATCTGGAATGGCCCTGAACCTCGAGTTCCTTTATTAGTAGAACTATTCAGCAGTGCACCGCGTTTGGTGTGCCAGGATTTGAAATCCACAAATTCAACTTACGAAACAATGTCGTTGCTCCATCGGACCACACTGACCGTACCAGGAATACCAAGATTAGGCAGACATATGTGACTGTTTGTCCAAGGGCAAACGTACGAAGCTGTCCAATTTCCAGTAAAAAGTCGCTTCGTTAACAGGAGTTCGAAAACCGCATCCATTGATCTACCCGTGTGGAGTAAGCTAACCGGTATCAATGTGTCAGAACAGTAGGTAAACAGATCAAACCACAGTCAGTTGAACAGAACTCCTGGGAACTTCTGTCACTATCCATATCAAAACGCTGATTACCTTGCAAGGCAGTCTGCCAGTTCACCGACCTAGGAAGAGTGGGCAAACTCATCTGAAACTGAGTACTATGCAAAATTTCAGATGGATCACGGTTTGCATTTAGTAGTCCCACAGAACTTTTAGTAGTTGACCTGCTGTAGAATCGTATTATCGATATTATCAAATAATATTATTTGAGCGAAAAAACACTGTAACGGATTTTTGAACCCGTCACCGAGAGCCATGTTGAATTCATTTTTTTCTCTTATTTCGGCGCAAAACGTATACCAAAAGCATTTATACACTGATTTATTCAGTCTCTCATTAGTTCTCCCCCAGCGACCTTTAAGACCATTAATCTAAACCAATTTCTACACACATAAACTCGTGGCTGTCAAAACAACCAGCTTCTGGTGGGACAGATAAAATGGTACTTCTGAGGATCTGGTACTTTCCAGGATCTACCATTTTATCAGACCAAACATCACTCTAGAATGTTGCATGATTTTATTCAACATTGTGAGCACCATTGTCTGGATACGAAAAAAAGAAAGGACGCACGCCGGAATCCCATGGAACCATTCCATTATGCTGACGACAGACTGCTTACGAAGTAGGTATCGTATGTCAGTAAAAGTGACAAAAGTAAACCCTGTGTTGTTTGTCTGACTGTTCTGTGCAAACTGGACCCCATATTCTAACCAGACGTAGAGTCCCCACAGTGCTACGAGCTTCTATGTGATCGTGTGCAAACTGTGAGCAAACGGACCTCGTGAACCAGCAAAATAGAAACTGGAAATTGAACTTACCAATAATGTAATCATATCTGTTGTGCAAAACTTCACTAATCAGTCGATTCAGGTGGGATTCGTTCTGGCAGCAGAACCGGTATAAAAACCATGCCAATAAGCCCGTAAAACAAAATGCTATCAATACGCGTCTCTTGAAGCCAGGCATTGAAGGCTTCCTTGGACAGTTTCAGGATAATGAGCCGACGGAATACAATGTTCTGTGATTTATTCACGAAAAAAACAGCAGGTGATTGGTTACTAGTTCTCGAAAGATTATAGGCTACGAATGCCAATTTGCACCTGACTCCACTGATTTTACACTGGTTTATCTATCATGCTGAGTTTATCAATGCGACAAGCCGTGAACATGAGATTCTATAAGTTAATACAATGCTACTTTATTATTCGTACTTACGCATGAACTAATTTACACATAGTCATTTTTTCGGCTGCTGAAAGGTAGTCACGCGAGGTAATTTTTGGAACTGCTATAGCAAGTGTCGGTTCTCTTCAAGTAAAATGAGACTGGACAAACACTCTCATTTGCACACAAATTTGGTTTTGGCAGGAGACTCAAACAAATCCAGCCTCATTTTTCGTTTGAGATTGATTGCTTCAACTGAATATGACGCTCAAAGACCCCTTCATGTTTTATTCGGTATGATATTCGAGAAATCTCTGTGTTTTCCACACCATACCGGCTATTTCTCATCTCATTTCTCATCTATTTCTCATCTCAGTTGATGTTATTTTCAACAAAACTTAAGCGACTACAAAAAGCAGTCGGAGTTGAGCGAAATGAATGTTCTTATCTAGGTCATCTGAATATCTGATTAACAAAGCCATCAGGATGATGAATTTCAATTCGCCATTCAAGTGAGACTCGTACGGAAAGGCTACTAATAGAACGTTGACTCTGATCACGGTATATATGGTGACAGGTTTTCCGGCCAGTTTTCGGAACGGTCTAAATAGACATTCGGTGCTGTGTGTTGTGAACCATAACTGAAGATTAACAGGTCAGGTAAACTTTCACCGTCACTACGATCGCTTGAGCTAGTGCAGAAATCCGTAATCCGCTCCAATCACAAAGCTAAGTAACTTCGGTAGAAATTATCAAGTGGAAACCTCAACAAGGCGCTTTGAACAATCGTTTTTGCACATGCGGGGCCACTCAACATGTAGACACATCAGTGGACACACGGCTTTTTTCTAGAGATACTCATCCTGTTTGTCATTTGGCGAATCTATGATTCCCATTACTGCCACGAAAGAAACCATACCTTTCTGGCTGAATATCACCGAAATCAAAGTTAAATCCCTTTGCTGGGTTGCATCGGAACCTTTGCGTCTACATAATGTGGTTAAGAGCACAATGTTGAGTGGGTGCCCCTGCGAGCCACGGCCATTCTTGAGGTCCGCCGGAGTTCTGAGTGCTAATCACATGCGATAGAATTCATCCGATTACTCCGTTTAGTTGATTGACACGGCGCATATCGGTGACCCAGAGATATCTGGACCGTTACTTCCGTTGTCTGTGTAATCTTTCCAGGTTTGGATAATATCTACTATGCTCATTTGGGCCATGCAGATTTTGCGTTATCCGCATTGCGGCACACATTGTGCAATGCGGTTCGCGCAGTTCGGACTACGTCATTCGAAACAGAAGGTTGCTGAATCTTGCCTTGTTCAATTAATAATTTTATTCAGGGAGTGGAGCGAAAACTGCTCTTTCTCGGGACTGCCATATTTTGTACCGGGGATGTTTCCATTGTTATCTATTTCCAGCTGTTGCTAGCGAAGTTGACCATAAGGAAGTCAGTTACTTATTGTCACCAAATATACATAGACTCATTTCAGAAAGTAGTCTCTGATCGACCATCAGCTGAATTTGCCCTACAGTTGCGACAAGCGAGCTGTCAGTTTAACAACCCGCTGGTCTGAAATGCTTTTGCAGGCCCGGATAATCGCGTCCTAACTTGGTCTCATCAATGTAGGCTGTCCGAATATTAGAAAAAGTAAGTTTGGTCAACCTTCACCAGAGTGACCAAACTAAATAGGATTGAACTGACATGGTTATAAGGGAATTGGTGACACGCGTACTTCAATTTAGGGCCAAAACAAGAAAAAGTGTGAGCGTGGTTTGTGCTGACAGATCAGTAGTTAACAGCAAACTAGAGTTTTCTGTTCTTCAAGAATGAAGTTTTTTCAGATAGATCAGAACCTTCACCTAATACAAACTGGTATCCGATGCCAGTTCACCTACGTCAGAAGAGTTCACGGATGGATTTCATGGATCAGAGAGACATCTAAACACAGGAAATAAAATTGTCTACTGTACAGACCTGTCGACACCACTGGATGAATCATATACTGAGCGATTCCTGTGTATTTGTGTACTTTTTTGATAGAACGGTGATGCATACCGTCCTGTCTTCATTGTGAGTGACACTTTTGGGAAACAGCACATCTATTTCGGAGAGGAAATACAAAGCACCAGGGAAACCCGTTGCGAAAAGTGCTTCTTATTCAAGAAGAGGGGATGTAACAAATCCGAGGTGCACACAGGCTACGGTAAACCGGGTCCTTTATTCGTCTTGTTTGTCGTTCTGACATATTTTGAAGTTCCGTAAAGACCGATATCTTGTCTCTGAGAGCCGGTTTTATACAAGTTTAGGGGCACACTACTGATCAGGCAAGTAGGCTGTGGGTCTGCCATTCAAGCTCCGCCCCCCTCATTCGATGGAAGGTAAAGTTTACTACGAAACTTATGGAGCCACTGTGCAGTGCTCATTTACTATTGTCTAAAATCCAATGAACGTCCAGTTCAAGACGACGCTTGGGAGTGTTCACCTTTTAAAAACCCTGTGCAGATGAAATGTTTACTTTCGTGTCTGATGGTTTGCAACCGCTTAGCTCGTGTTTGCTAACAAATAACTTCGCTGCGAAGAGTCTTCCTCCTTCCACCAAGAGCGTAAAGTTGCAGCCTAGAAGGTTTATTTCATGGACTGGTACGAGCGGCGAACTACTGTGTTTGTCAACATACCGCATCGATGGGATAAACTCAAGTAGAATTCCCCATTTGCGATGACTGTGACAGTCAGTCGAACAGGGCGTTCAGATATACCTTTGGTTACGAATCTCCCTGGGCAACTACAACGTGTGTGTATCAGGTCGGAGTTCAACGTATTCACAGAATTGGTTCAGCTCGCTTGGTTCGCTAAGGTGTAAATGGGAGGTGGGATGGCACAGTAGTTAGAGCGCGAATATACTGACCGGAAGGTCCGCCGTTCGAACTTGACCTCTACCTGTCCACTTTTCACAGCTAACTTTGGGCAAACTGGCAGTATCCCAGTTTGTAGTACCCCCCTCATTCTTCATTCGGGTGGCATGGCAGTTAGGCACCGAAAGAGTGTTACAGCTTTGTGAAAATATACTGCTACATCCCGAATAACGTACCGAATGCGGTTTATACGCAGCACATTCGGCTGAAGAACATCATGAACAGGAGGTTTGCTTGAGTCTCCCTTGAAAAACAAATTGACTTGCAAATGGGTGTATTTGTCGAAATCAGTCCAATTGGGGTTCAAGTGAAACATAAGATTGACGGAAACTTGGGGACTGGCTCCACCTAATGATCCCCAAGAAGGGCGAAATCAATCGTGGACTGTCGAACAGTTTTCAGCAACCTTGTGAGTGGCTTCCTTTATGAAGAATATCTGTCTTATTTTAAGTGTTAGGAAGAATTCTTTTCTGTTTCACTGGTACAAACGTTTGAGAGTTTATGCATTGTTCTATGCCCAAGAGCTTTCTTCGGACTTATGTTTGAACAGGGTACGCTGACGGTCGGATTACTTAAACGTCCAAACAATGAGGTGTGTCGTCACCATTAAGTTGAGAGGCAAACTGAGTGCAAGGATGCTGCTACTTATAGTTGTTTAGGGAAGCGGCTACTTGTGATCTGTTTCATACAATTATAAAACTGTCGCCTTCGTATCGGAACCAATCGCTGGACCATTAGGTGATATGGGGAATTAAACGTACCGAAAACGAGTCTAAGTGGGACAACTGTCTCACAAACTTAGACAGGTCGTCATGTGGTATAAGTATCGCGTCAGTAGGCTTATGAATGTGGATTACGGAAGGTAGGCATAAATTCTTCAAACTCTTCATGCAGTTTTTTAGCTGTAACTCTGTCGTCTGGCTCTGATGTTTATGTTTTACCCTTTGATAAATTGCCAAGTGGCTTGCAAAATCCTGTTAGCAATGTATCATGTACCCCTGTACATGACTCGAGCGCCGCCACACTGACGGGAGGAGGAAAGCTTCCGATTACTTTTATACTGACCCACCTGAGCTAAGCGGATACAATCTAGCGGATACCTAAGAGAAGACCTCATTTTCAAGCGTTTTGAATGATAAAATTTCACAGACACCCTCTTGAACCTTCCTGTGCGCTGTCTAATGACTAAGCAATGGTATTAAAACAGTTCACTGCGGTTTATTCGTTTCCATATCAGTCTTGCAACAGATTCAGGGGTAGTGCTTTGGAATCTGACCGGACACTACTCACATATTTCGTCAGTAGTATGACGCGGTCGCTGTTAACGACATCCGATGTGAGACCATATCGGTCATGTGATCGTAAATGGCTGAAAATTGTACTGTTATCGCTAGTATGCTATCCCTACGAAGCGAACAACATACACTGTGTCCCTGTGATGAAGCCGTTTTAAACTGAGTTGCGTTTTGTCTGGACGAATTTAATCTAAAACTCGTATCAGATGACCATCATGTGTGCATTTCCGGACAGATCACAGTAGACTGTTTACTTGACACCGTTGTCTCACAAGGAAAACAGAGAAAACCATAAGTTGGAGAACAATTGAAAAATTATGACGTCATGTCACGAAAATTGTAAGGTTGGGTATGTAATGTGTGGTTTCGAAATTTCGCGACAAATACGCCTGATTTCGCACAGTCTATGCAGATGAGAAGAGTGCTAGCCAAGGCAAGGCTATTCACTGAAGGCTTGCACCACCCAAATAGATAGACGATGTCAGATCCGCATCGTCACTCCCACTTTGATTTAACTAAAGCAGGACAAATGGAATTCACATACACTTGTGGAATAGCTAAATAATGATTCCTATGAATGTCAGTGTTCTAAGGCCAATCTGGTAGTTCCAAGGTCCATAATGCTGTACTTGATATAGTAATGGTTTAAGTCTGTATTTAAACAGTTATTCCCTTACTGTATCACTGTTTTTCGTCTTCGGTTTGTTCACTAAGCTCAGAAATTTTATTGCAAACGCTTCATCAACGGTCGAGTGCGTTGTTAGGGTGCTCAGTGGAGTGTAGTGACGGGTCAGTGGTTGTCCTTTCATTAGTGTTACGTGTTGCGTGCTACTGGTCGAGGCTGACATTCCATCACAATTGATCGGTCGGGCGGTTGGTTGCATTGGTTACTGTCTTATCCTGTGTCCTGATCGCTCTATGGTCACGTGGCCTTTGAGCTTGGCCTCCCCTGCCCTCGAACTCTGGTCGATGCTGGAGCGACCTAGGTCCTTGGCCCCTATGTGTTCTGGCTAGTAACAGCCCCTTTTTTCTTGATTTGTGAAGACGACTTTCGGTCCTCCTTGAGTATTCCGGTGGAGATATTGGTCCTTTGCACGTGGTGGGATGTAAATTGTATCCAGTTTAATTAGTCAGTTTATCGAATCCGCCTTGGAGTACCATGCCTCTAGAAATTTCCTTTCCGTGTCTTGTGTCTCCGTATGCCAAAGTGTTTTGCATTTTCTAGATTGAATTTGCGGCCTTATTGATCCTCATGTATGGATGTCAAAGATACGGGGCCATGTCTCCTGATAGCCGCGTTGTGTTCCTTTAATCGTGTGCATAATTTCCCGCCACTTTATCCAACGTAGAGTTTTTTTGCAGTTGTTGCAGTTGACTTCACTTCATTAAGCTGACAACAAAAATGAATAGCCTGCTTCATCGCATCTCTACGTTATTCGAGTTACTAAATTAAACGGCTCGATTTGAAATGACGTTTATTTATCATTCTAACGAGTGCTGGATGCAGGCCTGGAGTCATGTTGGCACCGCAAAAGGCATCTCACCAGAAGGTTCTGCATGGTGAAACCCAGGGACGTTGTCACACTTGTTTCTGTTGGTACCCTGAGTAGATCTGAAAACGTTCACGCTTCATATTGGATCATGTTCTCAATGTCACTGATTAACCACTCAGCCTTTCCTAATACGTAGAAGTTGGCCTCACAGTCACGCGCATACGCCGGTTGGTCAATTCAGCTGGCTTACCAGTTCGATAGAAACCGGAGCTACACGGACTGAGGGTTCACACATCAGGCAGAACGAAGTAACGGTGAAAATTTAGAGTTGAAACAGGTAGAGTCACTCACTTGACAGGATTAAACTTCTGTGCACAAAAACCAAGCCTTTAACAAACACAACGATTGAAGCTTTCCTTAGTTTGGTAGGCTTGTTAATCAGCCTGGTGTGGTAAACCGGAGCGCCGCTTTTGCGCGAACGCGGTAACCGGATTTTGGTAAACGGTTGGTGATCGACGAAGTGGAGATGATTCGGTGTACCGTTTTGCTTCACCCGTTTTCCAAGTCACCATTCAGTTTTCGTCACAAAAGTACACTCCAACTGCTAGCAAATTGTGCGGAATGACCGCAGAATTAACCTTCATACTTACAGGAGCATTCACAGTCAGTTTTGCTGGGAAGTCGGTGCCCTAGAGTGCTTAATTCATGTCTTCCTTAGATATCTCGTTATTCTGACACCCTTTTAGGGAACAGTATTTGAAACGCACACCCATTCTGCTACCCGTTTTGATTAATAGGTCGAGGATTTCGTTGTCACACGCAACCAAACTTTAAGGAAGTTGCTGCTCCCAGGGAGCTCAGCAAAAACTCGAAACACATTGACAGGTTTACTAAGCCTACAAATTTCTCATTGTTTTGTCAAGGGCTGTTTGGACTGTGAAACTGAAGAAAGTCTGCTCTGGCTGCTCACTCAATGGGGCGAGACACAGGCTGCTTAAGCCTAGACAGAAGCTGTTGAGCCAGAACTTTCCTATCAGTGATTTCGCCCATTAACATCTGATCCATCCCGAGCTGAGTGGTTTTTATAGAACGATGTAACCTACAGTATCACGACCAAAAAATGCTGTGGAATTCAAACCTGAGAAAAAACCTAAGGTTTTCATTCCCTTTCTATCCTTGCATTCTGACATGATTACTTTGGTGAGTCCACTCCAAAACGGAAGCAGCCAACCTGACTTTTCCTTTTTATTAGACCTCAGTGACATGCCAGTCGATCGTGTTACCACCAGAGCATACCGAACGGCCATCGACCACGACCATTGCGCTGACGAACGTGTTTACTGTCAAGTCGTACGACGGCTTTACCCGTCGTGAAATGTCTGGGTTGAAGCTTTAAGGGCATACATTGCTGATGGTTTCAAATAAGGAAACTTTTGATGCAGGTTGACCAAAATATTCGCGCGGGGACGTGCAGAAGACGGTACAAACCATAGTGGTGTGAAAGCAGATTTCAAGAGTCTCACAGAAAATTCAGACGAAAGAATGTATCAATTACTTCATTGGCTTCATCGAAAGAAATCAGCTCGGGTGGGTAGGACTCTCATGGGGAACGCGAAGACTGTTACTTGGCGAACCAGTGTACCACTTTCTTGATTTGCCCTCGTCAAACTTGCTTTCATATTGGACCGGCTATGAACTCCAACTATTACCAGACCCAATAACGAAAATTCGAGTCACAAAACATTGCAAAGCTGAGAGATTCCGCTGCTGAAAGATCACTCGAACTCGTTTTTGGTGGCGGGCGCCATTCAACATGGAGGAACCCCACCTATGAACCACGTGGCTGGTGGTTTTTCGCTTTCTCACTGGTGCTTCCTCAATAGTATTTAGGTTCATACTATTACGAAGGTTTAACCTCCAGCTACTGATACCAATGAGTATTTGAATCCGCAGAAACAGTGGTAAAAAGCTATTCAAGTAGTAATCCCTGGACATGGCTGTGTTTGACGGGTTTCGTATAGGTGCTATTTGCTCACAATTCTGTTTTGTCAGCAAACTATAGCCCCCTGGGGTTTAATCCTAAGTTGTGAAGCAAAGCCATGTTCTTGTCATGCAATTCGTAGAAATAAATCTCTCTCAGCGAACTTCAGACCACAAGTCCTACCTACCTAATGATAACTCAACCAAAGCTGGCGTGGTTGAGTTTCCACTGTTGGAGGGGAACCGGTTTAAGAATAAAGACCGGTGAAGCAGATTATGGTCCAGATACACCCAATTGAATCAATCGTTGCCCGTACTGTCAAATCGAATTTAAGTTATCCAGCAACAAATTGCTTGTCTACAGTCCTCGAAAGCTCACAAATTTGATATTGCCTCTGTTTACCCTGTTCCGTTGTAGTGGGTGTGTTCAATCCTAGGATGAAGTATCAACATCATATTACTTTCATTGAAAAATGAGCAACAGTGTGGAGAGTGACTTACTGAGCTGAAAAGCTTGTTTCGTCTGTTTCTGTGAGCACTCAGTGATC